AAAAAAAAAAAAAAAAATGGACGCGAAACAGGTCAGATACAGAATCCGAGTATATGCCCTCTTTGACAAGTCGTCAGAAGTCCGTGAAGTGCTCCCTGCCTCACTGGCAGGGACCCCAAAAGAAAACAGAAGAAGAAACAAAACAACGAAAAAAAAAAAAACTAATACAAGCCAAAGGTGCGGTTAGATTCGTTCATGAGTGTTGTAGTGTGAGCACACCTTCTTCAGGGCCTTCCCGGACGTCGTTCCTCAATTTGCAGTTTTTTTTTGTTTTTTTTTGTTTTTTTTTGTTTTTTTTTGCTGCAGTTTCTTCTTTTTTTTTTTTGTGTGTGTTGACCCTGCCCCGACCCCCGATATTTTCGGAATGAGTCATTTTCAATGAATTTCTTTTGCCTGGGCGGTGTACTTGTGGTTTAAGAAAGAGGCAATCGGGCAATGGGATAAAGATTGTATGTCTGCGCTAAAGAGTTTAAAGCGCGCGTTGATAGAATATCCTGTCCTCAAAGTAGTTGACTCGTCTTTGCCATTTGTCGTCACCACGGACGCGAGTCAGTATGGGATAGGCGTCGTGTTACAGCAGGACAACGGCAATGGCTACAGACTCGTAGAGTTCATGTCAGCGAGGATGCCCTCAGAGAAGGTTGCTACCTCGACGTACGAGAGAGAACTCTACGGTCTCAGGCGGGCCTTAGAGCACTGGAAGCATTACCTGCTTGGGAGGCACTTCAAAGTGTATTCTGACCATTAGACACTTAGATGGTTAAAGACCCAGGCCAAAATGACACCTAAGTTGACTAGGTGGGCCGCTGAGGTATACCAGTATGACTTTGAGCTCAAACCGATCAAAGGCAAGTACAACGTAGTTACGGATGCTCTGAGTAGGAGATCAGACTACTTTGGAGCTATAGTGCACTATCTGGATATAGGGAAGGACCTGCAAGAGAAAGTTAGACAGGCGTATGCACAGGACCCTATCTACAACGACCTCCTAAAGCGAGTCAAGGAGGCCCCAGAGACTGAGCCAGATTACCGCACTACAGAGGGGTTGCTATTTGAGAAGACTAATATAGCAGACCGCCTGTGCATTCCCAACAGTGAGGAGATTCGTAATCTGATCCTAGGGTAGTGCCATGATACAGAGGGACACTTCGGTTGGCAAAAGACTTTAGCCAATCTGATGCACGCGTACACTTGGCCAGGAATGAAAGCTGACTGCATAGAGTATGTTCGCAGTTGCAAAGTCTGTCAGAGAAACAAAACTACTACGCGTGCCCCTCTAGGTCTTCTCAGCCCCTTGCCTATCCCAGACCAGCTTGGAGACTCAGTCTCCATTCACTTTATGGATGCCGGTGTCAAGAGTAGGCACGACAAGAGCCAAGTCAAGGTCATAGTTGACAGATTCAGTAAATATGCAGTTTTTGTTCCTTTG